GGGGGGGGGGGGGGGGCAGGAGGATGAAGTCGACGCGATCCCACACGCGTCATTACAGGATGTGACCACATGGCTGCTGTCAATTGCAGGCATGGGTCGCACGTCGCCTGCAGCCGACATAATTCGCAACATACCATTTTACCTTTATCCAAAATACTGACAAATATCGACTACAGGGACTACCCACATAATCCGACAAATTCGGTTCTCATGATTCGCGATGTGGGAATGAAAAATTGCGGTGAAAAGTTGGCAAATTGTGGCTCACTGGAGGATTTTTGTTTAGAACTTACGATGTCTCTTTTTCTCCGAATACTTCGTCAATTTTTTCAGTGGCAATTCTGGTTGCGCTTGAAATAGCGGGGATGAAGCGGAATTTGAAGGGATTTAGGGAAATCAAGACAAAAAATTTTTGGGGTAAAAAAATCTGATGAAAAGTATTTTTTAGTGGAATTATATTTAAGGTTCTTGCAGATATTCCAAGGTCACCACACCCAGAGAAATAATTTATTTAAATTAAATTAAAGGTTATTTAAAGAGCACGAAATCCACTGTTCATTTTTTTAAATTTTTTTTATTAATAAATGTTTATTTGACCGAAATAAATTCTTCGTTAATAATAAATACAGATTTTTCTTATATTAAAGAAATTTTTTTATTTGAAATGAATACATTTTTTTTCGAACTTGATAAAAATTTATTTGATAAATAATTGATTATCGCTTCGGAATTAAAAAAGGCTAAATTTGATACAATTAAATCCTGTCTTTTGAACCAACTAAACACCTTTATAAATTTCTAAAAACGACACTATTAAAACAACTAAAAAAATTCAAACAAAGATGTTTTTCTGATTCAGATGAAAAATTTTTCTGAATGCAAGAACAATTCCATGTCTTAATGCGGTTAATGTCTCGACTCGTCTTATTAAATCTCTCATTGTAACACTAGTTTTTCACACCATCTTTCCATGCGGCCGTCAATTTTTACTGCGTTCCTCTCGCACTTAATTTTTTTTCCAGAAAAATTTTCCCTTCCCCATAATCAACGCAACAATAATTGCACCTCCAATATCTCCTGTCAAGCCCTCCCCCCTCGATATCCACGTGCTCGACCGTTATGATCGCCGAATGCCACCCCCACACCCCGTAATCAAGTTAAGGTCATACACAATAGCCATTAAGGATAAGGCGTGTACTAGAACACCTTGCGCACATGTCATTTCAGTTTCCTCAGCATGTTCAATACACCAAGTCATAAAGTCAGTTGAAATAAGTCACGCCCTCTGACAATGCCAAGCCACGCGCCATATGTGACCCCACATGGTACAGGCATGATGTTTTCAGCCAGTATGCTCATCACCCTCGACACGCTTGTATTATGTACCTGCTCGGAGGGGAAAAATATCGGGTAGAAGCCTACAACACATGTTTTCCGGAGGATTTTCTCCATAAATGAAATGCCGCGCTATCTCCACCGATAACTCCATCATTTATTCCACCGTATCGCGAGGTAAAAAGATCACTGACCTCTGCAAACATCACAGAATGAAAAAAAAAATAGACACTTTGTTCCACAAAATCATCGAATTAGTAATTTCAACATAACTATCGTGAAAAATCCCCGATAAACCGTTCAAATATTGTTTCAAGATAAAAAATTCCATTTCATTTCACTGAATGCTCATACGCAACAGTCACAAATGCAGGTATTTATCGAGTTATTCCGCCTCATGACGATAAAAATATTTAAACTCCATTGACAGAGATTTCCCCCAAAAGCCAGAAATGATAATCACCCCCTGTGCACATTTGTACGGATTATTATTCCACAGTTATGGAAAAAATACATACTTTGTCATTTCTCGTAAAACAGAATATTTAATTTATTGTTATTATTATTTTTTATTAAATCTTGTTGATTTCCATTGTTAATGTATAAATCTTTGATCAAATCAGGCTATTAATCACAAAAATAAGAATGAATCTTTCAGTCTTTCACAAGTTAACAATAAATAAATAATTATTTCATACTACGGGCCCCATAATCCTTACTCTGACCCTTGTGACCCTTAATGTGGCCTTTTTAGCCCTTAATGTGACCCTTATAGCCCTTAATCTGACCTGTGCAGCCCTTAAACTCCCGCCTGACCTTAATCTAACTCTTATGCCCCTTACTTAGACCTTTATTATGACTTTCATGACCCTTAATCTGACCTTTACAGCCCTTAACCTGTCCCGTCTGACCTTTAATCTGACCCGTATTTAAACCTTTATTCTGACCCTTAATCTGACACTCGTGACCCTTATTCTGACCCTCATGACTCCTATTTAGACCCTCATGACCATTATTTTAACCCTCCCAACCCTCATCTCGACCCTTGTGACCCTTACTTATAGACTCTTAATTTCGAATACCAAATTTTCATCCAAATCGATTTGGATTTTTATAACATAGAATAATTAGTCGTAAATTTTCCTGAGTGAGCTTAATCGTTAACTCAAGAGTATCGCCCGTTCGATGCTCTTTATTCTACGAAACCATCGAATTACTAATGTAAACATAACTATCCAAAAATCCCCCATAAACCGTTCAAATATTATTTCAAGATAAAAAATGCCATTCAATTTCCCAGACTGCTCACACGCATCGGTCACAAATACAGGTATTTATCCAGTGATTCCACCTCATGACGATAAATATGACGATAAATAAATATTCAAAGTCCATTGACGGAGATTTCCCCCCCCCCCTCCTCCTCCTCCTCCGAAAAGCCAGAAATGATAATCACTCCCCCGTACACATTTGTACGGATTATTATTCCACAGTTATGTATAACCTCGTAGCAGTATTGAAAGCCATCTCTCTGCCTTTGTCCATACACGCGTATCTCTGACTCGTAACGTGATAAATGTGCCCGACGCGGCAGTTACCCCGGGTTCTATCGCCCGTCGCACTGCCTGCTATTTTAATATTTTAAACTTGTACCCCCTAAATGCACGATACATCAAAACCAGAGTACTATAAATTATGGGAGTACCGCGCATGCTCACTCTGTGCTGTCCTTATTCACTTGAAGGAGGGACTCGAATTCGCAAAAAAGGGGCAGAAGAAAGGGAGGAAAAAAATATGTGTATCGCGCGGAGGAGGAGGAGGAGGAGGAGGAGGAGGAGAAGAAGAAGAAGAAGAATGTAAGACAGAAGGGAGGAACAAGAGATCGTTGTATGTACGTGCATTCATGTATGTATGGCTTTCTCACTGGATTTTTCTTGGGATTATTGATCTACACCGCGTTGCAAAATTCATACAGACGGGGGAGGAGGGGGCGAGGCGATGGTTATTTATCACTACACTCACCTTATTGAAATCAATGTTTCGGGATATTTTCCGCCTGAAAATCCACGGCTATCTCCATTAATGGGCGCTATCCTTCGGTATCACGTCTTCATCGTCCGGAGAATTTATGGCTGGTGGCTCTGGAATCAGTCGAAGAGGGAACACCGTCAGCGTTTTTGAGTTTTTTGATTGGGAGGTCAGTCGTGGGAAAACATTTCGCGTTATTTCAAGTCCCGCAGTATTTTAAATTCTCATTTTTTTTTATTTTCACGAATTAATTGAGGTACTGATTTTTTTTTAATGGTTTTTCTGGGTTTCTTTGTTCGAGGAAATTAATGTTGTTGGGTAACTGATGGTTGGGGGTATTTGCCGCATGAATTCACGCAATTCGGTATTTTTTACTCCATTTTTGGGAAGAGTGCGCTTCGATCGGGTTTAAAGTGTTGGAAAATATTGAAACTTCGAGGGAAATTGACTAGTGTTCTTCGGGAGAGGGAAGTTGCATCAGTTTTAGAGGTGAACAACTCATGAAATTGCACGTTTCAGTAGAACTTGACTAAAATTTCAATTTTTTTCAATTAAAACAAATATTGACTACGAAATTACCCTGGATTTTTCATTTATATGGAGTAATTCAACTGAAATTTCCACTTGCCACTGATTTTTCCATAAAACTTGGAATTTTCAACTAAAAAAAGATTTTTTTTCAACTAAAAAATTCCTTGGAATTTCAGTCACAAATTTTTAACAATCTGCATTTAAAAAATTCCCACACTGTCATATTTTCTTCAGGAGAGGGGCATTGAATGAGGTTTAGCCATAAAAAAATCACGAAATTGCAGATTCCCCTGAAAACTCTGGAATTTTACTGAATTACTGAACCCCGCTAAAGCGCATTCAGCCACTGAACGCCACTGAATGTTACTGTTCTGAAAATTACTAGTCAACTGTCCACGAAATTTCATTTTGTTTCTAACAGTGCAAAAATGTCCACGACTGTAAGAGGACTCTTGGCAAGACGCTGTAGAAAGTGTGGAACCAGTTAGTCTATTCCTCCCAGTGTATTTATGGTAATTCCCGGGTATTCATCTGACCCTGAGGATCATGCATATACATTGGCCCATTGCTTTGATGCCAATGATGTATTCCCAACTCTTCCTACCCATTGAATTCCCCTCATTCGCCTGCAGAACACGTCTCTGTGTTTTATATTTATCCGATATTTCTTCACAGAGTGAAATTTTCAGTTCAATGTATGCGGCATGTAACAATGTCATTTCCATTATGTAAAAATTGATGGTAGTGGGTTAGAGGGGATGGGCTTTCACTCCGGCGATAATAGCTAAGGGTTTCGGCTCTATCGTGCCATCGACATGGTGGCATATCGGCAAATTCCACGACCAATAATTCAATTCACATCATATATCCATTTTAGTATCAGTATGGGGCGCAGTATCGGGAGGCTTGGGTCTTCATAAGGATTGACGCGATTGCACTACAACCTGATTTAACCGGGGAGATAACAACCCGAGCACAAAAGCCTGTACACGTGACCTCATTAGATTATTCAATTAAATTGTTTCCGAGAGGTATTGCTCAAATATTTGATGAATTTTGGAATTTCGGAGGGGGAGAATTTTCGGCGGATGTTTGAAGGGGATATTTGGGAATAAATATGCCGGGGTATGGCGGCTCATTAGGCGATTCTTCATTAGAGTTGTTTGAGCTGAGGTGGAATTATTGAGGGGCGATATTGTTGCGGAACGACGGCGGACGGGCGTCGGTGTGAAATGAACGTGAAAAAATAGCGAACGTGATTACAACGCGGAAAAAATATACTTGATTCAAGTTTTAACTGTATTGTACAATTTTTCAAATATTTAGAATTAATTGTTCAATTATAATTGAGAATTGAAAATTACAAGTCACAAATAATAAGTCACCGAAAACGTCGTAATGGATTAAGACGTCTTAAAGCCACCAGTTTTCCCCCTGTGCGTCACCGATCGATTGATTTCAGAATTTCAAAGATCACACTCCATCGAGCAAGACTACACCAGAAGTCTTCGAAATGTTCGCGAGCAAATTTTTTCGCTATCAGGATTCCTACATTGAAGCTGCCTTGTACGGCTACACAAGTCTGCCGAAGTCAATTCCGAATTGATTGAAAAATTCACTTCGCCGGCTTCACGCGTCGCATGCCAGCATACATGGAGAAAAAAACTTGAATTGAGTATAAAATATATTTGAATCAAGTGTATTATATTATACTTGATTCGAGTATATTATATACTTGAATCAAGTATAGTCAAGTATATTTATTCTTGATTCAAGTATAGAATACACTTGATTCAAATATATTTTATACTCAATTCAAGTATACTTGAATTAATACTTGAAATATACTTGAATCAAGTGTATTCTGTACTTGAATCAAGTATATTTTATACTCAATTCAAGTATATTTTTTTCCATGATCACTCGGTGACTGATGTACAAATATATTTTATAGTCAATTCAAGTATACTTGAATTAATACTTGAAATATACTTGAATCAAGTGTATTCTATACTTGAATCAAGTATATTTTATACTCAATTCAAGTATATTTTTTTTCCATGATCACTCGGTGACTGGTACCAGGTTGAAAATAATTTTGGGAGTAATCGTCGAGGATGAGCATTGCGTAGTTGTGAGTAGGTGATAAAATAAAAGAGTCGAGAGAGATGTATCCACGGGAGTCTGCACGTCCGCCCCGTTCGTGCCATACCCAAAACCACTTTATTTATCGTTTGTCGGCTGTTGTCTCGAGCGTCGCTCGCACGGCTTCCTTCGCATAGGGCGTCTCTAAACGATATCAATCTCTCGCCCAGAGACTCTTTGATCTTTCAAGAATAAACGCTCGGCTTTTTTTCTCATTCCGCAAATGTCTTGGATTCGGCAGATTTAAATCGCTCGCTTTTGGATAATAAAGTCGTAGTTATCAGGAATTTCGACGTGATTAATTTGGCCGATTTAGGGGGATACTGTTGCTGCCGGGGGGATTCCACGGGATTTAGCGGGAATTTTTTGGATTCCGTGGGGGAAATTGAGGGACCAAGTTGGGGAGATTGTCAGCGACTTCTTGGGAGTTGAGGGATTTTTTTTTTCGCTGGGGTTTGCCGCAGTTTCTGGGGCATTTCTAATGGGTAATTTCCGCAATTCTCGCCGTTTTTTTTCAGATTATTTTATGCAGTTCTTGTGGGTTACTTTGTTTTACTTCGTTCATTTTTTTTTCACATGTTACAAATTTTTATGTGACATTTGCGGTCAATTTTTATGATGCGACGGTTCCGCTGATGTCTTGAGGAATTTTGTGAATTAAAATGCGCGATTCGAGAAATTAAAAAATTACTAACTAGAAACTGTAATTTTTTTATTACTGAAGTGTAGATTTTATGGCAATTATTTTACGAAATTTGATAGAAATGAAAAAATCGAGGTAAATATATTATTTATATTTCAATTATTTGCAAATTTCGTGCAAGAACAAATGCTCAAAAATCCTGTGATTTTTTGAGCAGCAGTAAAAGAGGAATTTTTTAATTTTTCAATAAAATTATAAATTGTTATGATTTTTTCTCTCTAATTGAATCAATAAATCGATAACAAGTCCACATTTTTGAAAACTCACAATGGCCTCTCAATTTCATGACATCGTTTATGACATAAATTCTACATTCCCTCTAAATACCAGTGCCAAACTCCTCAAAATACCCCTCAAAAAATACGACGTCACATGGCTGAAGAAATCCCAATGATAAAAAAATCCCGAGAAGTTTCTGGAAAAATATTTCAAACTATTATCTATAAAAAAACAACCCCTCTCGCCTAGAAGATATCGCACTAATCTCCAATTTGTAATAAAATTTGGTCCATAAAAAAATCGCCCCCAATTTACCAAAATTTAACCAAACCTGTAAAAAAAAATCAAAAAATCTTTTCTAAATTTCAATGAATTAGTTGTTAAATTCCCCCAACTAATTACTAAAATTCATCAAATAATTCTCCACGTCACATTCCCATTCCCCAAAAAAACATTAATTTTCCCCAAACATCACCCCCAAACTCTCCGCCAACATTATTTCCCCAACTCGCGAGTAGTTGTAATCGCATCAGCCTGCACATCGGGTGTTAACTACTCCCCGGTACATGTTCGATATACCCCGATATACCCCGAAAACCCACGCATGAGTTCCCCCCCCCCGGTCCACCGGCGAACGCGGGCCTCGAAGAAGAGAGAGAAGACGTTACTGTCACAAGCAGATTCAGCGTAATCGGCTTAGGCAGATGCAATTTTCGCGGAGATTTCCATCAAAGCATTGCAATTAGTGAGGTTGTACCCTAACAAGGCCATTGTCAACAAACGAGGAGTAACTCCAACCGGTTAGCAGTGCGTTTCGTACCCACTGCGTTAGTCTTCCTATCCAAAATCCAATTCACAATTGACTATTCACTGATTTCAATAGTCCACCTATACTTTTCAGATGCACTGGCAGGCGGGGGAGGTGGACCAGTGCATAGGCAAATTCAACTACTCCCTGTGTACTGTACTCTAGCCCCTGGAATGAAGGGGCAGGGGCTCAACTCTGTCACATGCACACACGAAATTCATCGAAAAGCTCTCTCTCTCTCTCGCGCTCATCGTGTGCAGGTAAACTCGAGGCAGGTTCAACTATCGTGTGCGCTTTCACACGATCGAGTTTCATTAAAGGCATTGTCTGCATCGATGTTGCATAGCGTAGCACCTGCAGCGGGGGAGGGGAGGGTTGTACACTTGTATAGCGGCATCAGTGATAGTCGAATGTTATTGTACTGCGTGAACAAGTGGTCACGTACTCGATGAATTGCTGGGCGATATAATATGGGGGCTGGCATTATATGTGATGGTCAAATGGGTACTTACGATACTGGGAAACCTACTGTAATCGCTAATGAACTTCTGTCATTCGGC